GAAAAGCAAGAGCTCCTTTTAGAGTCGACTTAAAATGTCAAGAAAGGAGAAAGATTTTATGGTATGGCTTCAAGCAAAGTAAAACCTAAGAGGAAACCATTGGTAATTTGTTTCCAGTTAAAGTGGACTGAACAACTGCCACCTGCTTCAGATGAAATGAAATCAGCAGCAATTTCACAGAGGACCAAGTAAACAGAGGCAAAGTCAGATAACGGCCCTAAATGAACATCAGAGCGAGGTAGGAAAAGGCAGAATCTGATTAAAGCTGAGATCTATGGCCCTGTCAAAGCCCATGACAAGATACAGAAGCTGAAAGGCACATACACGCATCAGGCTAAGTGTGCCTGTTTGAGGAGCCCATCAGGAGCAGTTAGGATGCAGGTCAACAGCAGGAAAACCTTCCTCTCTTCAGTTACATTTCTTCCTACTTTTATCTACATACAAAACAATTAGAAGCCGACTGAAATAAAATCCTTATTTTAACCTTCAAACAATAATCAGATGATATCTTATAAACAAATAAATCATTATTATAAAACCAGTTATGCTCAGAATCAATCCAGAGTTTCCAAGTTTAACCTCAGTTTCCTGTTGGTCTGTAGTCTGAATTCATGTCTGCTGCATCCACAGCATCAGCCTGCAAAAATAAAGCTGAATATTGTCCAGCCAACAGTCCAAATTAAGGCTTTTATTAATCCACTATACGGTGTTAATAAATATATTGTCAATCTGTCCTCAACAGTGTTCCGCGACCCCTAGGAGGTCCATGGAGGTACTGCATGGTGGTCACGAAATTGTTGGTTGATTAACCTTTTTTGTTTATATTCCCCCCTGCAATTTTCCCCCCTAATTGAATTGTCTTTAAATCCACATTAACATGAATTCAACACACTGTAGTAAACAGATAAATGGAGGCAGAAGATGTCTTTCAGTCATCAATGCTCACATTCAGCGACACACAGGAGCTCTTTCAAGCTGGGCACCGTTTCATTCACAACACCTGTCCCATCAACCAGGAATCAGATTCAGAAATACTTTAATAATCCCAGGGTGAAATTACTTTCATTAGATGACTCCATCTGTAATAGAGTGACTATAGGACCAGTCTGATATAACACAGTTTCATACAATATATATAATTAGTGGGTCCCCGCTCCATCTTGTCATCAGTTTGGGGGTCCTTGGCCTGGAAAACATTTAAAGCCCCTGATAGATTGAAGTTTCCCTGAACAATCTCATAATTTTCCTAACCATTTAAAATGACATTAGAAAAGGAATATAGAGATTGTATCTGGCTCCCTCTGTCGACCAGGAGATCACATTAAAAACACTGAAATACTACGAGCCTAAATAGCCACAAGATGAAAACAGAAAGCAAACATGCTAGCATCAGCCTAGATAAACATGCTTCTTGGAGATCTTAGCTTTAGTTGTTCATTAACTAACAATGTCATAGATTTTTGGTTTTCAGATGCCTCCCAGCTTCAGCAGGTCTGCTGGAATCGTCCAAAAGAAGATTCTGCAGAAGCTGAATTCAACCATCTGAGTCAGCTTCAGATGATATCAGGTAGTAGACGCTGGCTTATGGGTCCTATGACTGCTTAGCTGTTTTTAGACAGTCTGGTTATTTTAAACCAGCAGTCATTTCATTTTTCCTTGAGTTAGGAATTAATCACCAGGGTCAGTGTGGGTCTCTGGAACAGATGATTTTATTTAAATAATATTGTCTCCCTAAGTTTAGATCAATATGCTTTAAAACTATGAAATAGTATATATCATACAAATTAACCTGTAATTTTTAATTTGGATTTGCTTAGAGAACTTTCCCCATTAGCCTTTGGATTCATTTTAACAAGCTTTACTAATTTCCATGGTGTAGTCAGATCTGGGACTCTCAGAAGTCCCAACCTGCCTGCCAGTTTCACTAATCCGCATATAAGCTACCCTAATTTTCGGTGAGTACACACCAATGGTACCAATATTAACTTTTACCATAGAGGAAATCTAACCTCAGCAGGACAAGGAGGTGAAATGACCAGGACAGCTTGTAGGTGTTACTCCCTTCCTGTTGCTCACCATGCAGGCGATTACCAACGTGACCTTCTATAATTCTATTTAATGAGATGTTTGCACATCAACCATTGTATAAAGCAGTAATCTGAGTGTAATCTCCACAATCCAGCTGCTACACAGGGCACAAGGAGACTAGAGCGGAGGGGGAAGGGATTTAAAAACACCCGACTCATAGCGACAGGCCACTTAGTACGTTCTACGAGAGGTAGAGTGAAAATAAAATACTACCAGCTTCTTATTATGGTAATTTAATGCATTTCCTTCTTTAAAATAGTCTCTTTTAATGTTTTAAATCAATACTTTTTATCCCATAAAACACCTCTAACTTCTAAAAATGCTGCAGTTATTTCTGAGCTCAAGTTTAAGATCTAGTTAGGGAGTTATGGAGGCGCTGAACAAACGGCACGGCTCATCTAAAAGCTTCTACTACTGAGGTGTCAAACGAGACTATCATGCAACTCATAGATATTCCCCTCATCCGTCACACATGAAGGGAAGCTGGATTAATCAGGATATTTAAATGATTAACTTCATAGTCAGGGAAATATATGATACCATATTTAAAACCAAAGGGATAAAAAAAAAAAAAAAAAAAAAAAAAAAGACTAATAATTAAATGCCTTAAAGACTCCTCTTCAATCTCATCATGGAAAATACTCTAAACTTAAATAAGTAGACAAATAAATAAAACCTAAATATAACAGTTTTACATTATTTTCATTTATTATTTTTTGAATGTGGCAAAAAAAAAAAATCCAGAACTATTTAGCTATCAAAAATTATCAAATGACATTTGTCTTTAGTATTAATACCTAACAACATTAATATTATATCCCTCTGAGTATCGGTATGACTGACAGAATGACTGAATCATTAGTATTTCTGCTGTGCTTATCATGAGCACAGAATGCTAAAAACAGCTTAAAATGTCTGCTGGGAAGTTATTCATTTGAATAGTGGTACTTTGTGACACCTTGATGATTTAGCCAGCGTATGTCTGACATCCCAGAATCTTCCCAAAATGCTGGCATACGCTGATTTCCATGTATGTTTTCAATTTTTGGCGTATGCATAGAGTATTTATAACGAGTCTAGGGCAGATGTCCAATGACAGCCTAATATGCATGACGCACGGCAGCGTAATGCCAATGAAACAATGCACAAGCCAGTGTCCTGAGGGGGGGTAGCGATGCGCCTGGAGGCGCCCGGCCTGCATAAAAAGATTTGACCGCGCTAATAACCTAGCTGCTGTTTACTGCCCCTAAAAAAATAACTAAATAAAAAGATAAAAGAATAAGAAAGAAAGTTTGCAGTTGCAGCAGATTCAGCATCATGTCTGATAGGAAGTTTGTTGGCCTTCTGGCTCACCCTATGATGGGGATGAAGTCTGGAGGAGAGCTGATGGTTTCCTCCTGTGAACCCCCTTTATACCAAAACGCTGCCAATACGCCTTTAAACAGTAGCTGGAAGTTAGAAACACGTTCAGCGGTCTTCTGTAATGCATCAAATACGTTGCTATGCATTGGAAATAGTTCTTGATAAGTTACGCATAAGTTAAGCACACGTTACTCATAGGTTCTGGATAAGCTAGATGCCACGTCTTATGAGTGACTTTCATTTAATGTATGTCAATGATCAGATAACTTACCAATAATTAATGCCCATGTATGGCATACGCTGGGATACTTCGGGAAGTTTTGAGCACTTTTAAAAATTTCTCAATGTATTTAAATGTGTGTCAGCGTGCTTCGGTATACTTCAGCATGCTTATAACTTATACAAAATGTACCCATAACTTATTCAACATATGTCAGCGTTTTTGCCAGATTCTTCCTAAATCATCAAGGTGTGACAGGGGCATCACCCATTAACCATCTTTGATGGACAGAGGGCTGTTAAAACAAAATTAATGCCATTTTATCTTCTAATGTTACAGCAAACATATGGAAATCAGTAGGAGTTAAATATACAGCAGGTTTAAGGTTTGAAAAATAAACGCTTCATCTTTAAAATCTTTAAAAAATGTTTGGAATATTGGTTTATCTAACTAATCTTCCCAAAATAAATAAACAAGCAAAATAAAAACAGAAGATAACCTGGTTTCCACTTTTTTCATTAGGAAATTTGTAAAGAAAACAAAACTTGATGAAACTTTAAGGCATTTCTTATAAATTTTTTTTTTTTTTGTACCATGTTTAAATATCAGACACAAAGTCCCCCCCCCAAAAAAAAAAATAAAGACAAACCAGAAAAAGAAGCAAACTCTTTTCCCAAACAAACTAATCTCCCAAAGGCTCCATCTGATCATTATACTCTATGGTGAGCCATAAAGAGCCCTTTCATCCATCTTTCCCAAGCTCCTACCCAGCCACCTCAGGATCTAACATCATGCACACAGTGTGACTTTGGTAAGGAACACATGTTGATCTGATCCCATTTAAAAACAACACCATGTCACAAAAAACAAAACCGTTCACAACTGTTCACTTGTAGGGATAAACTCCACTGAGAAAATGCTCTTGTTCTCGCTCCATCCCCGTCCCGTTTTAAGCCCTCCCAAAAACTTGTTTTATTAATAAAGCTGAATAATGCTTCCTCTGATGAAACTCTGCAAGGCATCCCTCTAAGGCTTGTTCCAACATTGGCTGCTTGCTGGCCTACTTATGCCAGCTTCTCTGTGCTTCTATGTGGGGGATCATTGTCCTTTACTCCTTCAGGGAGATCTTTCTTTAACAGAATCCTCTCTGAAGCAGAGGCCAAGCTACGCCTTTTCAACTAAATGTTTTTTGGAGTTTACCACTGAGGTGGTTTATACGGCAATAAAATCAACAACTTAACCATCTAAATTGGAGGATTTTTGTTTTTTTCCAGGGGGAGGAAGGTACTGATTTGTGGAAATGTTAAGTGTTTGTATCATTTTTACCTACCGGGTTGTTTTGGGAGGCAGAGGTTTGGACGCCGCAGCAGAGCTGGTCTTGGACGGAGCTGCAGAAGTAGGTTTGGGAGCTAAAGGAGAGATGGTAGAGAAATTAATGCTACCAGGAGATCACAGAACAACATAGACTAGACATGTCGAATTGCGTAGTATTAAAAAAGCAAATCTAGCTTTACTCACAGCACCTTGCTAAAGTAATCAAACCCCTTAAAGTTTTTTTCTTGGTAAAAACCTAAATTTTAATGTTTTTATTTGAATTTTATCTGAATGACCAATAAATTGCAGCGGATCGTTGCAAAGTGAGGATAGATTTAAGTTTTAAAGTGAAATGTTTTCCAGAAAGCTGCAATGGTTTGGCTATTTTCTAGGCTTGTCCCGATCCGATCCACGTATCGGATCGGGACGCCGATATTGGCAAAAAAATGCGTATCGGCAAAGCATGTAAAATGCCGATCCAGACTGCCGATCCAGTTTTTAAAAAAAAATCCGGTCCGTATTTTCCAGTTTCGCCGATTGAAACGATCCATTCCACTATTTTGCGCCAGTGTTCCCCTGTTTTGCATTTTTATTAAAACTTACAGTAATACTTGCACCTTTAACTGTTTACTGTTTTACTGTTCACTGTGCAATTTGAGATTGCTATTCGTAATTTTGTCCAGTTTGTGTTTATCTCTTTATAAACAGGTAAGTTTGTTGTTACCAATCATTGTGTTTTATTCAATCTCACCTAATTTAGCTGGCTAGATGTTATCAAGAGTACTAAAACCCTTTTCAACATGAGTCTTACAACAAAGGCTAAATACTTTAACTTAAACTTAAATACATGCTCGGATAGGCTGGTATCGGCCAGTATCGGTATCGGATCGGAAGTCCAAAAACAATATCGGTATCGGATCGGAAGTGCAAAAACCTGGATCGGGACATCTCTACTATTTTCTAAACAAATGTGTATTTTCTCTATATAGTTGTGTGCAACGTTTAGTAGGTCATAATGTGTTGCTTCCCATTGCGGATAAATAGATAAAATCTGCATGATGGCTTCAGTGTTGGGACACAACCAACCTGGGGGCTTCTTAGCAGCAGCAGCAGCAGCAGCAGCTGTAGTGGTAGTGCTGGGTTTGACACCATTGGTTGCACCGTGTGAGGCCTTTTTGGCCGCTGGTGCGCCGGTTGTTGACTTTACACTGTTGCTGGCATTGGCGCTCCCTGGAGTCTTTTTCTCAGCGACCTTAGCGGGGGCCTTGGAAGCTGGTGCCCCTGCTGTCCCAGCGGGTTTTTTGATGGAAGCAGACGTAGGGGTGCTCTTTTTGTCTGCAGTGGGCGTCGCCTTCTTAGTCACGCCGTTGCTCGCGGGCTTCGACGTGCCATTGGCCAGACGGCTCTGGGGTGCAGTGGAACGGGTGCCGGATGGATTCTTGGATGCATACGGGGTGCTGGTTTTCGTCTTAGGAGTGGCCTTGTTGGTAGCCTTGGCTTTGGTGTCACCAGAGGACTTGCTGGCGGTTTTGCCTGCTGAGGTTTTCTTATCCAGATCTGCCTGAGGCTCCGCTTCGCCCGTTTCCCCTGCGGGATGTTGTGGCGTCTCCTCTGCCGCCGCGACTGCAGGGTCAGGCTCCTGTCCTGCTGCCTCGTTTACTGGGTTAGAGTCCAGTGTTTCCATTGGCTCCATTGCTGCCGTGGCAACCCCATCCGGCTTCATCTCCCCTTTGGATGGTGGTGGTCTTTCTCTGCAGGGAAAGACTGGTGGACTTAAGCCTCAGAGGATGAATACAGCTTCAGAGCGCGAGGATCAATCTGGAAGGACAGAATATAAAGAGCAGCGTTAGAAAACGACAAGATCAGACATGAAACACTGCTGAATGTTTGTAGCCTGAGATTCAGCTTCCATCTGAACCACAGAGTCGTCATATTATTCAGATATAAGGAATCATCTGTGCAGAGATACAGAAAGTGCTGTTGTAACAGCTTTGGATAACTTGAATAATAATCCACCATATCTTGTCCAAATAAAATGTTCTCATATCAAAAAGGGGAGAAGAAAATTCTTTCACTAAATATAGTTGTTTTTTTTGTTTTATTTACAAACTTAGGCCATTTATAGAGCATCGACTCTTTTGGAAAAGACCGCTGAGACATTCTTTGACAACGGAGTTAAACTTAGCAGTAAACTCATGTTCTTTCCTTGCGTATTCTACAAACCGTCTACATTCATGTCAATGCCAACTGGACTGCAGTGCTAAACAATTCCTCTGTGAGCTGCTTACAAAGCTCAGTGACACACTTGGCAAAATTAGTTGGTGTTTTTTTCTTTTCCTGGTCAAAATAGAACGGGAGTCTCTACAATGAACCCATTTCCCTGGATTTTATAGCAAAAACATTCACACCCTGTTAGCTATTTTACATTTTGTCAAACTAAAACAAACTTTTATAAACATACAGAAAATGACAATAATGTCCAGCAAAAACAATTGGAGCTAAAGTGATTCGTTGGATTAATTATAAGGCTGGGCAATATGGGTTAAAAATCTGATTTTTTTTTTCTATCAAATCTGATTGAGAATAATAAAAATGAGAAATGTCATATATTGCGTTCAAAAGCATTCACACAATAAATGTTTACTTTGAGTGGTATCACATAGAGAGCTGGTTGATAGAGACATCTAGAAGCAAAAACTGTTGAACTGATATCATCCAGAGCTATGAAAGCCCATGAAGTGAATAAAAAAAAAAAAATCTTGATTTTTCCCAAAATCTATTCTTCAAAATTGAAAAAAAAAATTTGACTCATTGATAAATAAAATCGATTAATTGATACAGCCTCTGAAATAGGTTGTTTGCTGAAAGAATAACTTAGAGAAGAAATGAAGACTAAACTGTAAAAATTTAAACTACGAGCTTAAATTTGAAAAACTTTAATGTTTCTTTTAATATATAATTACATGTATGTGTATGTGCTCTTTACGGTTTACCACTTGCAAATTGTCTTTTATCTATATTCTAAGTGTTTTTTTTTATCTATATTCTAAGTGTTTCTTTTTTAATCTATATTCTAAGTGTTTTTTATCTATATTCTGAGTGTTTCTTTTTTAATCTATATTCTAAGTGTTTTTTTTTAATCTATATTCTAAGTGTTTTTTTTTTTTATCTATATTCTAAGTGTTTTTTTTTTATTTGCTAAAATGATCTCTTCTCAGAACAAAAACATAATCAGAGATTAATCAACTGCTAAAACAAGATTAAATGGTTTTAATTTGGGGAATGCAGGATGTAAAGGCAACATCTCCAAAACCCCCTTCTGGACAAATAGAAAAAAAAAAAAGGTTGTAAGCTGCCACAATTTAGTTAACCAGGAACGACATGGAGAAGACAGAAAATAGTTGGGGAAGGGTGATTTAGATCAGAACATCAACATTGATCTCCAAAGTATCCCCTTGAAAAAATAAAATAAAGCACAGCATCCTACAATTAGGATGTTTTTCTTTGACTGCCAGAGTAAAGAAAGATTGAGAGTTAATGGAAAGATGCTAAACTTTTTCAATTCTAAGAAAAGTCAACACTGCCTGCTCTAGATTAAGGCGGATGGAAATAGAAAGTCAGAGAGGGGAGGGAAAGTCTCAGATCCATCCTCTAAGTAGGTCAAATAGGTACAACATAGCCAATAACCCTAAACAGATCAGGAAAAACAAGAGGGAAAAAAAGACGATAGAAGATAATGAAGGAAATAAAAGGAACCAAAGAGAGCAAACGCTAATATTCCATCAGAGATTTGTAATCCCAGCTGCTTCAAGTAAAGCATACAGGGGAACTGAGGGGTAACAGGAAACGGGCCTGTTGAAGTTTACAAACAGATCGAGCAGCCGGCTGTGCAGGAAGTTAAGCAGTGAGACAAACACTCAGGCAATCTAGAGGCCAGCAAAGAGGAAGACGCTTGGCCTGTGGAGCATGGGAACAGATTGAGAAGGTGGGAGAGACAGAGGAGTAATGAGACAAGGAAAAAACAAGACATAAAGTGAGCTCACTGTTGGCTTCCATTTACTGGTCCCAGTTTAAAGTCCAGACCTCAACATTCATCCTAGTTTCCACTGTCCTCCTGAACCGATGCACAGATTCACACTTCTATTTGTAGACGAGGACAGACATCATCTTTATTCTGCTGCTTCTTGGAAACACTTCATCGTGTTTTTATCCCTCTTTAGTCATTCTCTGCTCATCACCAGACCCATTCTTAGACGTCGCAAAGACCCCCGTTCATCCTGAACTGATCCTCCCTTTCTCTAAACCCGTGTTCCCCTCCTCACTTTCCTTCCTCCCCCACTGCTCCCGTTTTCCCTTCATCTCTCTGTTCTCTGTTTGCCATAGTGCAGATGGCTGGAGCAGCTGAGTAGGGCCAGCGGGGGAACGAACAGATAGAGGAAGGGGAAAGAAAAGAGGGTCCATGTATCCCAAAAGCCACACTGGAACAGATACCACAGCTAGAGCAACAGGCTGCCACCAAAACACTGACTGGTAGCTGCTTAAAGCTCTGTTAATTCTTCCTCTGGTTTCACTTTAAAATGTTCTAGAGATAGAACTGGTCTGAGTGGGTTACTCTTTCAGCTAATGGCATATATTTGAGTCTGAAACTACAGCTAACAATTAACTGATTACTAAATTAGTTCACAATTATTTAAGTAATCGATTAATTATAATGCATGCAATTAATTGTTCAGTCCGACTTAAAAGCATTGTTTAAAAGACTAATCCCTTCCAAATCAATGGTTTCAGCTAATAAACAGTATAGATAGCATCACTGTGTGGAGAGGCTATGGTTATCCAGGAGGAAGATAGCATCTTTTGGAGAAGTCTACCAGGGTGTCCGAGCATGGAGAAGCTACAGCTAACTTAGGCTAGCCCATAGGCCAACAGAGAGATGGAAAAAAAGCGCCCCTGCATCTTCTCTCTGGGGCGCAGAGGAGCCTCAGAGAGAAGGCGGCAGCCGGCCCGTGGGACTATGAAGGACAGAGGTAGGACTACGAAACAATCTTTCTAGTGCTTAATTAAAACAGCTTTTTATAAGCCACCCAAAAACATCTTAATAAGGTCAGAACTAGTGGTTACTATGCAGCCGTTTACCCCTCATATAATGGGAGAGCACGGAATGTATGACAGCACACCATGCTATATCATAAATATAGTTGTAATTACACTGAAAGGGAATATTGCAGTAGGAGTGAGGAAATTTACATGCCATCCCTATGTAGAGGGCAGCTCAGGTGCACTGAGGTTGGAGCGAGGCAAAAATCCTCATTCTAGCAAGGTGAAAGGCAAGTGTTTTGGCTTTTACAGCAAAATGAGTATACCTGATCCTACGAGGTATGCAAAATCAAATTAGCAGTTGAAAAATCCGATGTAGGGTGAAATAGCAGAGCGGAAACTATGGCCGTTTCTCAATTCACAAGTATGGACTCCTGTCCTCGCCAAGTATGCTCTTGAGAAGAACACTGAAAATTATGCAATCTGGGAGAACGGGAGCACGCAGCATAAATCTGAGTCAACTGGATCAGAAGTTAAATGAATATTTTGGCAAATAAAATACAACAACATCTGCTGTTCTTGTGAATTGGAAGAGTACTAGGGCTGAGGCTGATGACGTTTCACGAGTACACGAGCACATAAGTAAGCACAAGTACACAATCAAAAACGGCGTACGTTTTTTTCAGTCAAAATGGAAGCGACTTGCTCAGTAAATCCCTATCTGTAATATCTTGGTGAAACCGACATTCAGCAGACTCGATGAGAGAGCTGCAAATTGCTGTCACTTGGAAGGCAAACTTCTAGCAAAATGTCAGGCAAACAAAAGCTATTAAAACTGACATTTTTTTTGGTGTCAATGCTGTGCTTTCTACATATCCAAGGCATTATTTTGACAACATACTTCAGTTATTAATACAGGGTTTATTCATGAATAAGTAACAGTGAAGTTGACAAAGGATATTGCCATATACAAAATCCTTTGTCATCTTCACCGTGGACAGGCTGCAGCCATGTCCCAAGTTCCTCGTTTTCCCGCCACTTTGGTTCAAATTTGCATTCCCCCCCCCCCCCCCCCCCCCCCCCATTCTCCAGCCTTTTCTCCGCCTCAAGCTTCTTTTCCGAAGCATTTTAATGCCACGATTATCAAATTTTATGAATTTTAATGCCAATTAAGGCCCTTAATTTAAAAAATAAGAATTTAATGACTTTTAATGATTTTTAATGACCCGCTGAAACCCTGTAATATCCTGCATTTGCGTCTAAAACTGCCTGCTTGGTACTCTTCTCAGGATAAAGCCACATTCCTCGGTCCTCAGGCTTACATCTTCCTGATAGCACTTTTCTTGTTATATGTGGGCAGAAGTAAGCTTTGGAGTGAGTTGTAGTTAAAAAAAAAAAAAAAAGAAAGAAAGAAACTGTATCCAGTATAGCCATCAACACTATGACCTAATTTAACCACAGATTGAACTGGAAAATAAAACCATGTCTAAGTTCAATTCCCCCGCTCTCTTAAAAGCTGGTCAGCTAACTTTCTTCCCACAGTGGCAGAAAGCATGTGGCCTCACTGTTCATTACTTTACTCCTCTGCTAAGTAACAAACACTCATTCTGTGTGCGTGTTTGTTGGAAAGTAATAAATCCTCAGTGCATATGTACAGCCAGAAGAATAATTCTGGTTCCCTTGCAAGTCTCCACACAGCTGTGAGATTGTGCCTCTCTTTGGCTTATACACACAGCACCACGTCATCAGGATAATCAGTCAGCAGCAGAAACGGGCTGTAA